ACATTTCACTAAATTTATTGGACTTAAAAAGTGTACCAAATTTCAGTTTATTAGGCTCTAAGGAGTTTCCAGCATATAGCGAGATTCGAGTTATAATTTATAACCCGGCTATGCCATTTCGTAGAGCGAAGCCCTTTATTATTTAATATAACTTAGTTTCCATTGCTTTCGATAAAGAAGTTTATACTCAGAGGGGGCGAAGCCCATTCAGATATTTTCGAATAGTTGCACGATCTCCTTTGATTTCCGGTTTCCTCTTTTAGAGGAAACAGGCAAAAGAATGAAGACTGGTATATTTTTTAGTTAGTGCCTACGGCGGATATAGTACATTTTATGCTAGAATAGATTTACTAGTAGGTTGTACACTAGCAAGATCTTGATCATTACGAACATTATTTAGAAGATCTAGAAAAGAATCAAGAGCCATACTTTCTGAATTATCCATTTCCGTAATAGGGGGCGGCTAATTAGAAAACGATTAAGATATAGCTCTGCTGTAGTAGTATATCGTAGAACTGTAGATCGATGAATACCTACATGATCTGCGATATATTGAACACTATCACTCATAAATACTAGTTGTGCTGTTGTACTATCATAAATAAATACTTTAGTACCTCGTAGTTTACGGAAATAATCACGCCAATATTTTGACGCGGTTCATGATAACCGGAACTACTAGCGCGCTACGCGCGGATCCACATTAAGATCCGGTAGAAGAGTCTCGAAACAATACTGTTCTAGTTGAACTGCTATATCACTAGTACTATTAGGATCCATAATAAGAAGAGTTAGTGTAACATCTTTAAATCCGCGCCTGCGCGTAGGCGCCTTTTACAATTTTATAAGCGTAGCCCTATCTTCGGCTAATAAAAATCGAAGATTTTTATAACCGCGCAGGCGCTTATGGAAATATCGAAGTACTCGACGATCTCCTTTCTTAAGGATGCCCGTAGGGCGGCATAAAATAAGAAATAACTCGAGCATAAAGAGAAATAGAACTACCGATATAACAAGCACCATTTTCAGTAGTGAAAATATATACACCTACTGCTTTTTTAGCAATAGCAGCAATACTATCACGATTATTGCGCGTACGCGCGGATCTTTAATAATATGTTTGGGGTGTGGTGCGGGGTCTAGATTTTTCTTGTTCTGATTACTAGTAGTACTATATCGTTTAGTTTTAATAGTTATATTAAATAGTCCTTCATTGTATGAAGTATGTACAAGCATAACCATAAAGAAGATCATTACAAAAGCGTGTGCTGTAATGATTAGTAGAGTAGGTAGACTTAGCCATGAATCGTGCTTGCCGTTAAGATTTATAACGTATAAGACAGGACTGTTAGGCCACGAATCCTCTCTCCGAACCATACGTGATACTTTCGCATCATACGGCTCTCCACAAGAAATTATACCCATTACAAGAAGTGTTTCAAACAAAGTATATCTCTTTCAAGAGGGAGCGCAACAAAAAAACTATTTCCCTTTAAGATCTGCCTTTGTTACTGAACCATTATGAATCCGATTGTGACACGGTCGGCAAACTGGGATCTGCTTTCGGTTCATCCGTGAGATCATTGCAGTCATGAAGTCCTTAGGATGCTTTGACACATCCTTGATAGCACGAACATGATGCATTTCGACATCAATTTCCGTACCGCATAGCGTACAAGGACTATCTAGAACGGCTTGTGACCGGAAGGTAGCTCGCCCAAGTTGTTCAAGTCGAATGCGCCTATAAAAATCGAAGATTTTTATTGGCGCGGGTTAGTATCATTAGTAGAAAATTTGAAAGTATTGGCAAGAGAAGGATTTGGCATTGAAGCAAGTGTTTTACCATTTGCATCTAGGATAGCGATCTCCTTACCAAATCGCTTAAACACTTTCGCTTTCGTACCAAGTTTTAGTTTGGCCGCCAGCGTAAGCACACATGAATATTTTAGGATGTAAAAGATTCGCCCGAGGCTACCAGTGTTATTGACAAAGCTATAGTAATTACTAATACCTAGCCAAATAGTCCAGTAGTGTTTAACAATCTGATGAGTTTCAAAATGAATCATCCGACCCCAACGAGTTGGTACCCCTCCAGGTTTAGCCATTCCTCGAGCTACTAGCTTATCTACCAGTTTATTAATAGGGGATAGTAGTTGTGGACGAGTTCCTGCCTTACTGATAAGAGTTTCCCCTGATCGAATACTTGTTCGAACTGGTCGAAGCTCTAGTGGAGTAATCCGAATATCAGTTCCTAGGAAGTGTGCCAGCTCGCTACGAGCGTGTGTGATCTTAGTCTTTTGCATACTAAGCTCAAGTTTAAGTTGATCTGCTAGAAAGGTTCGAAGATTATCTCGAGTTTCAGTAGCATCTTCTTTAGATCCAATAATACCAATAATGAAGTCGTCCGCATAACGAACAAACATCATTCGTTTGTAATCTGGATCATTTGCCATCCGGCAACCAATATTACGGGCATGAACTTCTGACAGTTTCCCTGCACGAGTTAGGCGACGCGGGTTTGTCTTTCGCCGAGAGCCTTTATTAAAGCTACTCATATACTCTTCTAGCCATAGATCAAGCTTATTCAGCAGGACATTGCATAGAAGAGGACTAACTACAGACCCTTGGGGTGTTCCTAGCTCGGATGTGAAATATTTATCCTGGAAGATATATCCCACCTTAAGTGCTTTGTACAGAAGGTCTATAAATGCCTGATCTTGCACCCGCTCAGAGACCGCTAGCACTAGTAGTTTGTGGTCAAAGGAGTCAAAACATTTGGAAATGTCTGCCTCAATAAACCAGTTCACTGAAGTGAAGGTATTACGAAGCTCTTTCAGAGCTGTGTGACAGCCTTTACCAGGCCGGAATCCGTGTGAGTGCACACTGAAACTAGAATCAAAGATTGCTTCGAGAACTAGATGTATAGCCGCCTGAACAATTTTATCTCGAGGGCTAGCAATACTTAGCGGTCGAGTACCATTACCATTCGGTTTTGGGATTTCGATTCGCCGAGCCGGTCGGAACTGGAATGCTCCTGATCGTAGATTTCGTTGCAGTCGTAGGAAGTAATCCATGTTGATTCCATCCAGTGTCTCAGTGTCGATACCTGGAGTCATGTTACCAGGTTTACTTTTGATTCGAGCATAAGCAGCGATAAGTAGATCGAGATCAGACATAATATGCATAATATTGGTATTAACCAGAGCTTTATTATTGACATTGCTTGTAATAAGCTGCTGCAGTTTCTCCATACCCGCCGGCATAGAGTCCACAGCGAATCCATTGCTGCTCCCCTTCACTTTAGTACTGTAATTTCGAGCATTAGAAATCTTGTTTCGAGTTACAGTATTAGAAGCTAGTACGAGAGCTCCGTCACCCCACGAGTTTCCTCGATCGGGTGATCCCGAATTCCACATTGGTACCGCAGGAAGACGATTGCGCTACGCGTCCTCCTATTGGGCTACTTAGGTGTCCCCACGCATTGTGATCACTACTTGTGACCCATCCACTCGCCCAATTGAACCAGAACGACACAACGTAATTCGTTCCGGCCAGAAATAGAGCCTTACCTTTTCGAATGAGACAAGTAAGTCCAGAACTAAGACTGGTGTTGCATGTTGAAAGGGATTTGTTAACCTCACCATATAGCCCGTAGCTCGCTACGATTATTGCACGCAGCTTTCCTAGCATGCTATTTTCACCACCCCGTTGGCCGGAGTTGGCTGAGCTAGGTGCTTTACGGTTATGATCAGAACCCTGTTTATTACGTTCGAAGAATCGACCATAAATGTCATGACTGTGACCCGATTGGGATCGAGTCCATTCGTAACCAGGTTCCGAACCATCAATTGGGTAAACCGGATATGCGCTATCTACGTTATTCCAGCAAAGGATCTTATGAGGGAACATCCGGAAGTAAAACCGTTCGAACCACGTAAGATAATTGAAGAAATGAGCACGAAAGATACGATATCGACGATACCAAGTGTTAGACGGCGCACCGTTGTATAGTTGATGGTCTCCGTTAAGGTATTGTACTCCAGGTGCTGCTAGTTCCATTCGGATTAGTACTGAAAATGCTGTTCCAATCATAGCAGCAAATACAGCAAAGATTAGATAGAGTGTACCAATATCTTTAGCATTTGTTGAGTAAAGCCATCGTACCACAGCAAATAGCTGTGGGAAATCCTCTTAGTCTATTTACTTTTTTAGTTCAATCTTTTGCTTTATACTAATGCATTTTTACTATTTTATTCTCGCTCCGCGGTTAGAAAATTTCATAGTAAATTTTATTAGCGTTGCCCCTATCTTTGCGCATAGCGCGGGTTAGACCCGCCAAATCTAAGGCGCTACGGAATGCGCGGTTATAAAAATCTTCGATTTTTATTAGCCGGAGATTTTGCGCGGCTACGCCGGAGGGCTCCGCCCCGTAGATTTTTCCTCTTTTTGTTTTTTATTGCGCTACGGAATGCGCGTCCGCGCCGAAGATTTTTATAGCCTTTTTTTTTATTAAAAAAAAAGAAGGCGCGGGCAAAGCCCCGCGCAAAAGTCTGCGCGTACGCGCGGGTTAGACCCGCGAAAAATCTTCGATTACGTTCTTTTTTTTGACGCGGGGGGCTCCGCCCAGTAAATTTTCTTAGGGCGCGTACGCGCGCCCTAATAAAATCTGGGATTTTCTAACGCGCTTTCCGGAGGGCGCCAATAAAAATCTTAGATTTTGCGCTACGCAAACATAAGGAAAAATAAGCACAAAAAGAAGGGCCCGGGTAAAATTAGGCGCGTTGTATAAAATAGGACTTCATTTTTAGTAAATACTAATATCAAGAGAGTTGCTAAAAAAGTTTTCGGCTTTTATTTTGGTATCCCTATATATAGGTATATTATTACTAACTACGGACAAAAGGAGATTCGAACTCCTAAGGAAGTTTCTAATATTCCAGACAATTAGCAATCGCCTACACCTCGCCAATAGCGGTTTGTCCATAAGTAACCTATATAAAGAAGGTATAACTCAGTTGGTTAGAGTGCGATACTTTTAATATCGACGTCGTAGGTTCGAGCCCTACTATCTTTATATATTTCTATTTCTAGGATGAGTTGAATCGAACAACTATTTTTCTCACCAAAAAAGAAAGTCTTTCCTTTAGACGACATCCTACATTTTTCTTTATTAGTATTCTTATCATAGTAGTCTACTATCAGGTAGTATTACTATTACTTTTTTTTTTACCATTCTCATTACCGCCGTAGGCAATGATGTCTTTCCTTTAGACGACATCCTATATTACCACTTATACTTATAATTCTATACAATTATGTAAAAATAGAATACTATATCAATAGGAACAGAACCTCACTATAAGGGCCCACATTTGTAAAATTTAAACAGTATTCTTCTTTATTACTACAATCTATAAGATCCGCGCTACGCGCGATAGCACATTTATATTAACTATTATTAGGTGATAACCACATTCCATTTATATAATTTCTATAGTGGAAATTTCTAATTCGTTTATATATAAATTTCTTTTTATACCGCAAAAAGATTCTAATATTTTTAAACACGCAGGGGGCGAAGCCCTGCGCTACGGAGGGCGTAGCCCTATCTTAGATTTTGCGCTCCGTTATAAAATTTGGCGCGGGGCGAAGCCCTTCTTAGCGCTTAGTTATTAAATTTCCTGCGCTACGCCTCTTTTTTTTTTATTTTCTTTTATTTTTTGCGCGGGGGCTATAAAAAATATTCGGCTGCGCGTACGGAATAAAAAATAGAATATGGCGCTTATAAAAATATTCTATTTTTATTGGCGCAGGCGAAGATTTTTATAATCGCGCATTCCGTAGCGCTAATTTAATCTTTGATTTTCTAACCCGCGATCTTAGATTATATAGTCTTTTTATAGTTACTACTATTTATATTTACAGTATATTGCCGACTACTAGAATCGAACTAGTGTCAAGTAATTACAAGTTACCTATTCTACCACTAAACTAAGTCGACATTTTTATTATATTATAACTAGAAAGATTACAATTTTACAGCCTACGGCGGTTTTATTATATCCTAAACTATTCCGCGCCTGCGCGGACGCGCCTTCGATAGGGCTACGGAATAAAAATCTACGATTTTTATAGGCGCATATCTCTTTTTTATATATCTAAATCTACTGATCTCTAGGAGAATCGAACTCCTATTAGTAAAATGAAGATCTACTGTTTTACCTTTAAACTAAGAGACCTATACCTATATATATATATATACATAAATTAAAACCATCCGCGCTAATAAAATGCGCGTCCGCGCGATTTTATAACCGCCGTAGGCTATAAAAAGATTTTCGCATAGCGCGGGCGCCCCCCGCGCCTAAGAGTTTTTATAGGCGCCTTTTACTGGGCGGAGCCCCTTTTTATAAGCGTAGCCCTATTGAAGGCGGAATAAAAATAGAATATTTTGCGCGGGGGCCCCTATAGAATGGTAATTAAAATAGGCGCTAGCGCGGGGCTACGCCCAGGCGCAGGCGCTTTATTAGTAGAGAAAATAAATCACAATTTATAAAGGCGCGTACGCGCGGCTATAAAATCCCTTATTTTCAGGGGCAGTGCATCTTTGATTTTTGGTTTTTTTAACCGCTAGTAATTTTCTTAGCACTATACAAATACAAGCATTATGATAGGGAGAATGCGCGTACGCGCCGAAGATGCGCTTACGCGCGGGGAATAAAGTATGATAGAATATTTCTATATTCAACTAGATGTGAGGTTATAAAAAATCTTTGCGCATAGCGCGGGCAGCTAATAAAAATCGAATATTTGCGCCTCTTTGATTTTTATAACTATGCGAAAAAATTGCAAATTTGCGCCTCTTTTTATAATATTTCTTCATTTTTTAATATTCCTATTTCAAGGCGATAATTCTTTACTTTAATTGAGTACATTCCAGGATTTGAACACTGGTCTAGCAGGACATGAGTCTGCTGTGCCACCTTTACACTAAAGTACTTTATATATTTAATCTTTGCTATTCTTATACTAACTATATATATACAGATCTATTATCAAATAAAAAGTGACTCTGTAATGATTTAAAATATATATATAAAGATTTTTCAATGCGCGTCACTCTGTTAGCGCGGGGGGGGGGGCGTAGCCCTATATAGTTTAATAGAATACAAATGGATGGTTGAATAGAAAGTTTAGCCCTACAACAATTGTTGAAATGTTTACAACTACAAAAATTTGTAGAACAGTAATTAGATTATATACCACTTTATCTGATGGGATAATCTTACTAAGTAGTGTAAATTTCTCAACGATACTTTCTCGATATTTTACACTGTATCGGTAGATGGTTATTAGAATAAGGGGCGCTACGCGCGTACAATAATTGCACTTACTCCAATTAGAAGTACAACGATGTTGTATTGGAAGTGTAGCACGTCAATAGCGCTTAGTTCACTCAAATCTGTTGCAGGTACTCGATTTCGCAGTTCCTGCTTCATAGAATTAGGAAGAAGTTAAAATAGCCAATCAAGAATAGACCCCTCAAGTGGCGAATGAATGTGATGATTGCTATTCGTAGTATTACTACTACTGTTCATATTAAGGCTACCTGATAGTTTGTTACCGCGCCTTGAACATTATCACTAAAACCCTTAGACATTGCTTCATTCATTCGGGTATAAAACCGTAGGATGAAGAAGCACTCCACGCATTGCACCAGCACCACTACTAGTAGCAGCGATAACACCAGTAAGACCTGCTACTTTACCGCGCTAATAAAAATTTACTGCGCCCTAATAACTAGCGCCTTCGATAGGGCTACGCCCTCCGCCGCGCTATAAAAATATTCGGCAAATTAAAATCGAAGATTTTTATAACCGCGCATTCCGTAGCGCCTTCGATAGGGCTACGCTTATAGGGCTTCGCCCCCTAGTTAAAGGCGCTTACGCGCAGGCGCCAGTTGAAAAAGTTTGTATCTACCATACAGGTTTAGAGCCCTCCACGTTCCATTAATCATTAGACCGCGAAGCCCCGAGCTGTCCCATTAGTTGCATTTGTAGCTAGGCCTTCAGTCTCTTGACAGTTGATAGGATCAAACCATACATTATAGAAGAGAGCTAGTGTTATAAAGGTTAGGATTAGAACTAATACCATTAGACGTACTGGAAATGGTTGTAGCAGAGCGTAGTGTCCAGCCGCTGAATTCGTTGTTCCATTGATCCTACTAGTTTTCGTTCAATTACTGCCAGAAGTCCTACACTTAGAAGAATTGAAACTTGTACTACTAGAATAGCAGGTAGCTGGGCTGCGCCCTGATATTGAATTGAATTGAAAGCATTTTATAAATAAAATGAAATATTATCTGCGTTACTAATTTCTACTTATTCCCGGAGGGCGCGTACGTTATTAAAATCGGATAAAAATAGTAGGCGCTACGCGCTAATAAAATCATTTATAACCGCGCCTACGGCGGCGAATTAGCTTGAATTAAATTGAATTGAATTATATTGAAATTTATTTGATTTAATAGAATATAATTATATTCTATTATATTAAATTAAATTAAATAAAATTAAATTAAATTATATTATATTATATTAATTGTTGTAGTATCTATAGGGCTACGCCTCTACTTATTTTCAATCTTTGATACTTTATTTTGATCCGCGTAGCGCATCCTTTAGCTTTCCTCTTTTAGTTCCCTTTCGCGCGTACGCGCCTTCTTATTATTTAATTATTTAATTATATAGTGTAAAAATTGTAGTTGCCATGTATTGTAAAGATATATAAATCCTAATCCTAATAATAATTGAGTGGTGTTAGAGGAAATCATTGTTCATGCTAATGTTCATCAAGAGGGGGATAACTATGGTTTATTACATTATTTATATAATGCGCTTGCGCAGGGCTATAGATGTTAGTTAAGGTCTATAGTGTAGCTACTAATTTAAAGATATTAGTCCCTCTGGTGACTATTGATGGTGTATGGTGACTAGCACTGCGCTAATTAAATTAACGACGTTAATTTTATAACGGTGCGCTTAATATAAGATTAGATTCTATAGGGCGGGGCGGAGCCCCCTTAGAAAATTTACTTGTAAAAGGCGCTAGTTATAAAAATCTTCGATTTTTATTAGCGCGGGGAGTTATGTTATACTTTGGATTGAATTTTAGAGTGATATTACGGTTAACTACAAATACTGCATTAGATTCATCGTACTTCTTAAGCATTACTTCAGCATTGACTTTTTTCTCAATACCAAGCATAAGTTGTTGAATGATCTCAAGTGATAGTTGTTGAGAATCAATACCTGCGCATTTAATGATTACTTGGTCAGGTTGACCTGAAATAACCATAGCATAAAATTTAGGTCCTAGACAAAATACTTCCTTAACATTATACTCTAGTTTCATTTTTCCTAGTTCATAAGGAGATACCCATTGTTGATCCAGTTCTTTTTCTAGGATAATCGAATCAGTATCTGAGTAAATCCAATCGTTTTCGGCTAGAGTTTTAAAAGGATGCATTGAAATTCGTGCGTAGGATGAAATAGCTGCAGCTAGAGGTACACTTGACTGAGTGTATTTACCAGTAGTCATAGGTTTAGTACTATTAATGGTAGAGTTAAGTAGTTCAATTAGTTCGATATTTTGTTGGTTATGAGCAACTACTAGTGTATAATCGTTAGGAAGGTGAATGTGTTTAATAACGGTATATTGAATATCGAAGGATTGTAGATCATCATTATGGATAATCTTAGAGAATGTGTTAATTGAATTCATACCTGTTTTACCATATAGTGAATTAAGTAGTAGTTTTATGATATTAGCAATAGTATGATTGTTATCTTTCTTAGCGGAGATTCGTTCATGATAAATTTTCTCTACAAAAGAAGTAAATACTGATGATGAATTCTCAAAAATATATCCGGGCGAAGCCCCCACTTTAATTTGATAGTTAAGTAGTTTTAGTGCCTTTAGTTCTTCTGAGAAGTACCAACCGGAGAAATCAGTAGATGGATATTCAATCACTCCCAGTTCGGTACGGTAAGGGATAAGTGACATTTGATTGTCAGGTACTAGAATATGAGCATAAATGAATCCAAAACTATTATCCAGATCAATATTACTATGTAGTGTTGGATTACCTACGGGCATAGGGTTACGCATAGCGGAAGGATACTGACTATTCATGTCATAATAGAATACATTAGTAGCGTGATTTTGATTAATCGCAGTTACCCCTCCATAGTGTGCATTACGAATATCCTTTTCTACAATACCACCGCGCGGAGCGCCTTTAACATTATCTTTAGTTTTATAGGCGCTCCGCGCGGTTAGAAAGATCTTGTATGATAGTGAGGAAATTGTAGTACATTTAGTAATATCTATAGTGTATTTATCATAAATAATAGTACTGAATTTATGAATTGCTGAAAATAGTCCCTCTAGGTTATTTCGTAGATATTGAATACTTTTCTCTTCCATACTAAACTTGATATATGTATTATCCTTTTTAGTTATTGATAGGTCTGTATAGCTACGATTAATATAACCATTGAAAAATAGATTATACTCTGTAGCCAGGTCTCCAGGACATTCCATTAGTTTATATCCAGTATTGAAATCCTCTAGTACTTTAGCTTTAGTGGTGTTAAGTAGTTTTTGACTATCTAGAATAGTAATGTGAGGAGTAGAGATTTTATAAATAAGATTCTCATTCATTACTGTTGATACTTTCCCCACATCAGTACTGTTAGATACAATAGCATTAAGTAGATAAATACCATAGTGATCTAGATTATGTACATAGAAAATACGACCAGGATAGTTAGAATAGATAAATTTAATTAGTGATACTAGTACTTCATTAAATTTCTCTCCTTCTTTATAGTAGAAAGTATGTTGATTTCCACTTACTTTAAATGCGGCTGCATAAGGGATTAGTTTGTTATTAGAATCCTTGAATGTTAGAATCTCAATAACTCCAATATGTGTTGGTACTACTTTATCTTTTGATGGCTTACGTAGAGTAGGAAAACTATATGGAAAAATAATATCGATTAGAGTTCCCTCTTTTCAGATAAAGATATTCCCTTTAAATTCTCGTTTAATTGTTCCATCTGTATAATGATGATCCACAAACTCATATGTTATTCCGGTTTTCCCTACTTTAATTTTCGTACTCTTACTATAATTACTATCCTTAATTGTATTATCTATATATTCTATACTAGTAATATAGTCTCGTTTACTGATTAGGGAATAAACTGAGTTATGTAGATATAGCATACTACCATCTGTATTATTTGTCGATACTGCTTTTGACATATCTACTACTTTATCTAGGAGTGTTTTTACACTATTACCTGATGTTTTTGTGCTTGCGTTGTATTCTTTCTGAATTTTATCCAGTTTCTTCATCACTTCCTTTCGGAATTGACTATCTTTTAGTTCTATATAAGTGTCTGTATTTATAAATACTCGACCTTTAATAGCGAGATGTAGTTGTCCTTCTAGATTGTACTTCACCTTTAGCAGTTCTAGCGTATTTGCTACCAGCCCAAGTGCACTTTCTACCGATTCTTCATCTGTCAGAAATAGGGCCTTGCTTACACTATAATATGTCCCTCCATAGCCTATTTCAATAAGTACAACATATACTTCCCCTTCTTTAATCTGACTATTTACAATATTTAGCAGACCTTCTTTAATGGTCTCTATGCTAAGTTGATTATTGTAATAGAGAAGTTTATATGATCGGAATCCTTGCATTTTAATATTTATATATAAATTTTTAATTTATTAACCACCTTTCTAGCATATTGCTTAGGTGGATCACACCTCGATTTCTTTAGAACCTGCTGCTGCGGGCCCATTTACGGAAAAGGAAAAGAGAGATAAAGAAAAAACGTAAATGGTAGTAATGAGATGTGATCCACATCCTATATTATTTCTCTTTTTATATAATAATTATAATAATAAGTAGATTTACTTTA